TTTTCCTTGAAAGTTCCTTCCCCTACTTTTCGTGATGCAGATTTGCAAATTTCATATCGAAAAGCCACATCCTCGGATGGCAAGGAAGAGTTCTGTCCAAACCCCAAGTTCATATCACTAAGCGTTTGGCCAGTAGAGCTGTCACACAAACACGCGCGCACACACACACACACACACACACACACACACACACACACACACACACGGGAGGTGACCGGGGAAGGGGGCTGTTTTGATTGCGACGGAATATTAGGTTCTCCCGATTCTTCAGCGACCTCCTTTGCGGTTCTTCCACTATTAGGGGGGCTACATGAATGAAGACTCCGCGGTAATTGCAACGAACCTCGTTATGGGCTCGGTCGGTTTGGCCTTCGAGGTTGAGTCAAGGGCTTCTAATGATCCGATATCATGAGTTACTCATGGTATTTAAATATTTGTATGCCGATATAATGACGGAGGACAGCCAATATTTACCTCCTGCGTGTCATAGTGTCTGTATGACACGAAACATCAGATAAATACGCTAATTTTGAGTGCATGCGATGCCGCAGCCCCTCGTTATGCATTATTTTGGTCCTTGGTCGAGCGTTCGTAGCGTGAGGACGTGTTGGAGGATACTCTCGAGGTTCTGTCAGCTAAGTCGTGAGTTAGTTGTTACCTGGCTACTTTGTAGCAGTATTCATAAGTTTTCTGAAAGCTACCTCCAACTTCACATTAGATCAGTATCAATCAGCTTAATTACTTTAAGTATTAGCACATTACTCGTAGTATTCCTTTTACTACAAGGACTAGGACAGTACAGTCTTACCGGATTACAACTAGTGTGAAGTACTGCAAAGTATAAGTCTAAAGCAGTAGGAGTGTCAATAGGGATCAATAACATTAAGTAAGTAAGATGCCTAGGATGTGTAGATGCGTTCGTTGCGGGGATTGGGTAGGTGGGACTAGTGAACGAGAGGTATGCCAGGTATGCAGAGTCTGTAGCTTGGAGGAGCGACTAGGGGAGCTATCGGGAAGGCTCATTAGCGTGGAGGAGGAGAT